TATTTCTTAGAAACCACAATGTTGCAGATGCTATAACTCCCTCATTTTGTTCTTTTTTTTTTTTTCATCTTGTTCTTGATTGCTAAGTAGCTCTGAGTTAAAACACCAGTTAAAACAATTAGAAACCCTATTTATGGATTTGGAAATTCAAGTACCACATAGTTGATATGGGAATTGGCTAACCAGTTTTAGTGTATGTGCTGCCGAAGCGAGCCCAAGGGATTTGGCTAAACAGGACCCTACCCTGGACCCTTTCCTCTGCTTAGCCCTTGAAACTCGTTTTGGTGTTGAAGGTCATTTCTTGAGCCTGGAGCTCTGGGGGCATAACTCCTCACCCTGTTGAATGCTGATGGCACCTCCGATGAGCCCATGTGTGTAATTCTCTCTCCCAGGCCCCTGCCCTCTCCTCTAACCTCCCACCCCCTCCCACCTCCCTCCATCCAGGGAGACCAGCTGTGTTAGGTCCTCTGACCCTGACTTGTTTCTAGCTTCCTCAAGTTCCTCTCTGGCTTTCTGCCAACTTCCTTCCACACTTTATAGCTAAGCCTGCTGGAGTTAAAGCAATCTATATTGTTTAAGAAAGCAATGCTTTCCCACAGAAAGATTGCCATTAAAATAAGATCTGGAAATTCCAAGGGCTGACCAGGTGGGTGGGTGGAGATAAGAAATTCAGACCAGAGTAGGGGAAGCATCTTGAGGAAGAGTGACACTTGAGTATTGAAAGATAAGCTCTTTGGGGCGGGGGGGAGGGGGGGGCTCAGCTCTGGACTGGGTGCAGCCACCAGGGAGGTCCCTTTAGAAGGCAAATGGTCAGTACATGGGACCTCTTTCAGTCTGAGGCCTCCGGTGGGCCCAGGTGAAGCCTCCCACTTGCCAAGAGAGACAGCTGAGTCTGTTGAGTAGGCTTTGAGTGGTCTGGAAGGGGCTTGGAGATGTCCCAAAGACAGAGGGCCTCATTCCCATTTTGCTTGCAATGTTTGATTTATTCTCATTCTGCAGGTGCCGGTCATTCCCAGGGACATGGGAGTTTGGCTCCCTTCCCTTCCACCGAGGGAACCTGGGTGCCCAGCGGTAACGGGTCTGCTACCAGCGTGAGGGTAGGAGAAGGAGTCGTGTGTCGGGGCCGATGGCATGGTCTTGGGGCCGAATGAGCAGGTACCCAGCCGCTGACTCGAGCTGGGTTTGCCAGGGGCCTCTGCACTTCAACGGAGCGCTGTCTGAGCTTCCAGCTGGGGAAGCTGAAACTTGCCAGGCACCTTAGGGTGTCCTTGTCCAGCCACATACGGCGCATGAAGAAAACATGGTGAGTGGAAATGCAAGACGTGACCAAACCGGGAGGTATGAAGTGATTCCGGGGGGCGCCTGATGCCACGGGCCAGCGCGCTAAGCCTGTCACTGTGATCAGGAAACTTGAGGTAGAGTGTAAGGAGCTCAAGAAAATATCACAGCCACGACCTGGGACGAACCTCGCTAGGACCACAGGGGGGGGGGTTTCTAAATGTTGCCAAGAGCATCCTAAGCAAGATGGGGTGTGAAGGCTCCGAGAAGAGGCTGGCCCGCCGCGGGAACCCCGAAGAGAGGAAGCCGCGGGCTACTTGAACACTGCACCTGATGCCCCCAGAGCGCATGCGCACTGGAACGCGGGGCATTTACTACGGATGGATAAAAAGGGACACAAAGGCGAGGTACCGAACCTCATCCCACGCCTCCCTGGCCCTCGGGAAGCGCAGAGTTGTGCAAATATACCACCCTCCGAAGCCCCAGTATACACAGCCTGCTTTCCAGGCTTCTCACCTGGATGTTCTGGGCCCCAAACCAGGTTTAGGATGGGAGTTGCTAACAGTTTGGGGATTTTCAAATGGTCCTTGTGGTCAGAAATTACTTGGGAGGATTTGGGTGTGCTGTGTGCAAAGGGGAGAAGGTGCTCGAGCAGCATTTGCAGAAGAGGCGGCTTCTTACATTGAAAGACCTAAAACCCCTTAGAGGTTAGCGCCACGGCCGCAGGCGGGACTGAGAATAGCTCCAGCGACGCAGGAGCGTAATCTAGTCACATCTAGAAAAATTTAAATTATTTACATTTGAACGAGTCCACAGAAATAAAAGGCACACATTGCAAGGCTGTATGTACATGGATGTTTATTGTTTGCAGTGGCAAAAAACTGAGGCTACCTGAAGGTCCATCAACAGGAAGCAATGGAATCAACCAGGGTCCATCTGGACTATGGAGTATTAATTACACAGCAACTAAAAGGACAAGTTAGCTACCCAGCTAACTGTTGAGTGGAAAGAGTTTCATGATGCAGCATTAAGTTACAGAGGCAAATTGCTGAGGGATAAATGTGATATGTACAATTACGGTAGTTTTAAAAGGAGCAATCACATTTTTTAAAAAAAGAAACCCTCCCTTATATACCTAGGCACAGTGAAAACGGGGAGGCTACAGATCAGGCAGGAAGGAGGGGGTGGGTTGGGGGAGGCAAGAACTAAAACATCACAGAAAAATGAAAAAAGCGTCGAATAAAATTCTATAAAATAAAGAGAATATTTGGAATATAAAAGCCCATCTATAGTACTATTGCAAATAAGTACATTTGTATATGCAAATGGAGAAGGCCTAGGAAGTAAGAGGGCAGACTGAAAACTCTGACTTGATCAGATACTGGGATGGGGGGCAGCGTGGTGTTCTGGATTTCTATTGTAATTTGAATGTCACTTTTATAATGAACACATTTTGAAAAATCAACACTTGGAGGGGACAAGAAAGCAAGGGTTGGTGAAGTTATTCACCTTTAAAACATCCATATCAAGAATAATTCAGACATCCCTCACAATGTCCTGCACATAGTAGGTGCTTGGCCACCTTTGGCTAACGTGAAAAACCAGACTCACACAGCCTCCCCTGGACCTCATAATTTGTAAACAGCTTCAAGGATGCTCAAGCATGTGTAGTCTCAGTTAAAGCTTCGTGATTAATTTGGCATTTGAATCACCATATACAAATGTCCTTCATGCCCCACTTAAATCTGGTTTCTGGAACTGTTAATGAAATGAGAAAAGACAGCAATTATAGAAAATGTACTATATCATGGCCTGTTTGCCTAAGAAATGAAGTCATTTTGCTTATGTGGCTGTGTGTGCCCTTTTGGTTAAACTCAGCAGAGCTGGACTGAAATTTCAACATCAGCTTACAAGTAGTCTTTCTTTCTTTCTTTCTTTCTTTCTTTCTTTCTTTCTTTCTTTCTTTCTTTTTCTTTCTTTCTTCTTTCTTCTTTCTTTCTCCCCCAGTCTTTCTTGCTATTGCTATTGTTCAAAAAATAAAAATAAAAGACTGACATGCAAGAAATAACCTCTACCGGGTCTGTACTTTTATCCTGGGCTCTGCTCAAGAATTCAGCAGGACCATGGAAGTAGAAGGTGAGGGCAGTGCTGGCAGCCTGAGGACTAAGACCTTCTGGCATCCTCCATCCCATCCTCCTCCAGCACTGATCCAGTGCAGGGTGGCCCCCAGGCTCCTCAGGGAAGGCCGTTACCCTGGGCTGCCCTGCCCCCAAGTCCTTCGCTGGCTTTCTCTGTTAGAACCTTCCAAAAGTATCCTTGAAAAGAATGCTGATAACAGTGGGGGCTCAGAACAAGAGGTACCATTATCAACATTCATGTTTTAAAATACTTAGGATAAACGGTCTAAGAATGTACATTCCCCCACCCCCTTACAGACTCTCTGTAAAGGAGAATTGATAAAAGTCAGCAGCTAGTGCATCCAAATATGGTTCAACAATTCCTGGGGGTCTCTAAGAGTATCCCAGAGGACCTTGGGGACATCTTAGAGCATTAGATTCGTTATTTGTATTTAAGCCGTATTCATATTTTGTAACATATATTTAATAAGAGGTAGATACTAAGTGCCATATCTACCCTTGCTTATGGTATGAGTGAATTCTTTTTTCGGTCTCCCTAATGACACGGTTTCTTTTGAAACTTTTTGGCAAGGAATTATTCTTTTATAGTGATAAGTGGTTCACAGAAATGACAGCCCCACCCCAACATGGTGGTTAAAAGAACAGCTGGAGATTGGCCACCGTACCCGTGTAAAGGGAGTATAGTTAAAGATTCTCATATGCATGTACGTAAAAAGATGCACCTAGCACTAAGGGAACATTACAAAGCAAATGTGTCATTTAAAAATATTTTCTCAAATCCAGGTGATATTTCAGAGAGAGGAAGAGCAAACACTTATCCTTCTGGTGAAAGAAATCTTTGTGCCCTAGACACATCCTGCTGTGGAAATGGTCTGCTCTGGGAATTCGGCCTGGCAAGATCGCCTTATGCCGTGATTTCTGGGCCTTTGGCTTTCTCTACCTCTATGATCGTTTAATCCCTTTATTGGATCTTAGTTTCATTAGAAGAATTAAATACAACCTGCCTGGAACAAGGTATCAGGATCCATGGCCATCAGCTCAGGCAGAAATCTGGGTTTGGATTTGGGCCTGGCAAGCCTGAAAGGACTCACAAGGCAGCTCTGGGATTGCACAGAATGGAAGATCTGGGGTTGGGACAAGCCAGGATTGCATTCCGGTTCTGCTACTTTCTAGCCACCTCACCTCTTGGAGCCTCAGTTTCCTTGTCTACACAGTGGGAAGAACCCCTGTCTCTAGGAGGGGTTGGGGATACCGGGAAGCGTGTGGCCCGGTCCCTGGCGCGTTCTCTTCTCTGTTGGCCGAACATTTGTTTATTATTTATTGCAGAACGCGCCGTGCCAGACGGAGGCAGTGTGTGCCGCGCCGCCATCGGGAGAGCCTGCAGGGCCTCGGTACCCACACATTATTTAGCCGATACAGTTAGGTACCCCAGGGGAGACTCGCCAGTGCGCCTTGAGGCACTGGAGAATCACGGCTCTTTGGTACCTTTGGGACACGAGGGGGGCCGGGGCCTGGGGGAGAACTGGGCCACGCCAGCCGATGGCTCACCCTCTCATCCCTGTGGCCGCCGGCCCGCCTGCAAACTTATTTCACGATCAGCCAAATGAAAACCAGCAGGCAGAGCAGCATGGGCAGGTCGCCGCGGACCCGAAGTCCCGCGCCCCTCTCCAACCAAAAATCGCAGTGCTTGACTGAACAGAGCTCCCTGATCAGCCGCCACAGGACCCGCTGGTACAGCTTGTTGTCCTGTTTCTCACGGGACAGCTCCTCCGGGTTGGCCGCCTGCGTGGCATTGATGCAGCCGCTCACAAACTTCTCCTTGGTCACGTTGGCCTCCGAGCAGCCGTCGTAGTGGACCCCGTCGGGGAACTGCCAGTAGTTGGCTTCGTAGTACCTGTTGGCCTCGGCTCCCAGGTCGATATCCAGCTTCCGGCCTTGCCTGATGAACGCCCCGGGGCGGATCTCAGCCGTGTGCGCCTCCGTGACCTGGGAGGTGCTGGGCAAGGCCTTCCTGTTCCACTTGATTCTGTGCTTTATGCCTCTTGCCTTGACTGCCGAGAGTTGGCTGAACAGCAGGACACAGACGATGGCCAACCAACATCGGCCCAGATGTTTCCCCATTGTGTTGGGATCTGCAAGAGCAAAGGCCTGGGCAGTTACCTTCCCCCAGGGGGGTGGGGGGGTTCCCGGGTTCCCCTGCCCCCCTCCCGTGTGCAGACGATTTTAAGCAAGGAATGCATCCTTGTGCCCTTCACGTTTTCCAAAAAGCAGAATAGTTTTCCCTGTGTTCGGGTTGCACAGGCTAAGTTAATACCCAGGTTCTTGCTTTTACCTGGAATTACATGCATTCAGGGCGGAGATCTGGTTTTCTCCGACAGATAAGACGCTGCAACTAGCAATTATAAAGCCTTTGAATATGCATGGGAAAATAAGCGAGTAATGACATAATACATATAGGTTTTCTTTGGGGCTCCCGTCTTTCCAGTCAGAGGATCTCTGGAGGAAAATACACAGAAGAGCTGGAACCACAGGCTTCTGAGCACAGACTGTATTGTTCATCTTCCCTCTTTATTCTGTTGCTCTAAGCTGGCTCTGTTCTCTGGCACATTCTGCCATCTATTCTAAGAAAGCCCCAAAGGGCTTTAGGGTAATGATGGAGAGAGATGGAAGCGTGGCCAGGAGACCCCTGCCTCCTTCTGCATCAGGGGGTCAAGATATGCTATAGAGGTGGCTCCCAGTCTCGCCCTGGGGCAGTGTGACCCCACCCTCCCCCTCACCCAGCACTTACTATGCATCAGCCACTGGCACTGACTGACTTAATACTCACCTGGGGTGGGTGCATTATTATTCCCATCTGATATAAGTTGTCCTGGGGGGCGCCTGGGTGGCTCTGTCATCGTTGTAGTCGGTTAAGCGTCTGCCCTCAGGTCATGATCCCAAGGCCCCCCCACCCCCACCCCAGGTATCTCTGCTCAGCGGGGAGTCTGCTTCTATCTCTGCCCCTCCCCCCTGCTCCTGCTCTCTCTCTCTCTCAGCGCGCGCGCGTGCGCTCTCTCTCAAATAAATAAATAAAATCTTAAAAAAAAAAAAGTTGTCCTGGGATTCAGAGTAGGTAAGTGATTTGCCCAAGGTTGCACAATAGCGGGTGGCAGATTTGAATCCAGTCTGTCTGACTTTGTTCCCATGTACCCACTTGTCATGTCCCATGGCCATTCTGTGCTGCAGGAGGGGACGGTGCCTGCATTTTGTGTTTTTGACTCGCTGGGCATGAAGGGCAGCACCGATGGGCCCTAAGCTGAGCAAAGAGCGGGGTCCGTGAGGAATTTCAGAGGAGATAGGATGCTGGGGAGGATCGGAGGGCCTGGGGGAGCACTCCAAAGGGCTGCTGATGACATCAGGGGATATCCCCCCTTCCCCACCGCCCCCCAGTCCGGTAGTTTGTCCCATCTGGCTCCTGAAACTTACAATAGCTATTGTGGAAATCTACTTCCCAAGGTCAACTGTTCCGGGCATCCCAGCACCTGGACCATTGTCGGTGTGGATGAGAAACCCCGGAATGGTTACAAAAGCCAAGCGTGCTCAGGCTGTGTCCTAGATGAAGTTCTATTGTAAGTCCATCAGGGCCAGAGCTGGAGGAGGTTCAAAGTCAGCTTGTTTAGCCCCTAACACACCTTCCCTGCAGGATTCCCAAAGTGAGGGGTCAATCTCTGTTAAAATGTTCAGCTGTAGTGTGACTCAGGTCCTTATGTAGGAAAAAAGGCAAAATGCAACCTCCGTGCATGTCCAGTCCCACCTCTGGATGCCTGTGAAGCAGCTTCTGCTGACCTTTCTTTACCTTCAGGCATGGTCTAGTCTCGGGCTCAGGAAGAGCATGAGTGTGCCCGGCAGCAGCCTGAGAACCTAGTCTTCTGGCACCTTACCCCCTACCGCCCCCTAATCACAGTGACCTCAGACCAGTTTTCTCCAAAGAGATCCAAGCACGAAGCCAACGTTCATTAATCTCCTAAATAGGGGGCCACACCTCGTGCCATCAGCCCATATTCTTTTGGTAGGAGAAATGTTAAATAAGAATACTAACACAAATTACAGGTGTGTCAAGTTAAAAAAAAAGATAAAGATCTTGAGAAAGTAGTCTTCATAGACAAGGGCTTAAAAGCAAAAGAAAATCCCAACCAGCCAACCCTAAAGTAGCATTTTATTGCAAGCACCAAAACCAGACATTCAACACCAGTGATGCCCCAACAGGTTCATGTGTCCCCTTATTCGGGACACCCCCCAGGCGATGGGAGACAAGAAACCACTGTACAGTTTGCAGTCTGATTAGAAATGAGCAACCCTCACCACAGAAACGGAATCCAGCGCGAACTCTGCCTCCCCACATACCTTGGGCTGTCTCTGGAAGCTTGCCTCTGGAACCTCAGCAGCACTGTCCTCCAGCACGGCCCTCCCACGTATGTAGGAGCTGCAGGGGGAGGCGGCATTCCTATTGCTCTCCAAATATGGCAGCCCTCCTCGCTGGGCACGACCAATCAGGGGTTCCCAGGCACTCCTCTGCCTTGAGGATAGACCGCATCACTCTTCACTAATAAACACTGTCTGAAGATCTTGATGAAGTTCAGAGGGACTTGAGAGTTGCCTTTGATTTTCCTTTCTTTTCTTTTATGTATGGATGTGTTCATCTACTTATTTACTTACTATTAACCAGTTTATCACAAAGGACATTACAAAGGAAACAAATGAACAGCCATATGAAGAAGTACATAAGGCAAGGTCTGGAGGGTTCTAACTGCAGGAGTCCTCATGGAGTCTGGGGCACGGCCTCCCCCAATGTTGATGAGTTCACCAACTTGGAAGTTCTTCGAACCCCTCTGTGCCAGTAACTGGGGGCACAAACCAAATACTCTAACAAAAGATACTCTTATCACCCTTAACACTCAGGAATTCACGAGGTTTTAGAACCTCTGTGCCAGACACTGGGGACATTATTATACCACTATGTCACAGCTGGATAGAGGGATGGAGACATCTGTCCAGAGTCTGGTTAGGTCTATTTTTAAGACTGGATTTTGAGAGGTGCCTTGGTAGAGCCGAAATGAGCAGTGTTAGAAGGAAAACCTTTCCCATCTGTATCTGCAACAGAGGGTTGTTGCCAGGTATGCATGCTGTCCTGCACCCGAAGACCAGCCTCGGCCAGCAAAGGGGTTTTGGCCAGGCAGCCTCTGTGGGAAGGGTCTGGTCCAGAAGAGGGTGGGAGGGCAGCTGGGCCACACTGCCCCTTCCCAGCGGGGATCCCCAGGGAGCGAGGTACCACACTTCTTTTGGGGAGATGGAAAAGCAGGGTTCATGTTGGACAGAGGGACGCATAAGAGACTTGGCCAGCGCTTGAAGCTGTTGAGCACACAGGAATGCTTGAGCCACTGAATTAGTCCAAGGCCAAGAAGTTAAGATCTATGGAAACCCACGGGACAGATGCAGATGGAGGTGAAACGGACAGGGTTCAAACGTGGTGGGGGCTGGGCGTGAGTTTCCTCCGACAGGTGGGGAGGGGAGCTGGAGAACCAGCTTCTCCTGGCAGGAGGGACTGCGCTCCGTTATTGGGTGACCGGTCCTTGTACAAAAGGGACGTACTCAGGTGTCTCTGCTCCAGTTATTACTGCAATGCGAAATCAAAAGTGATTTCTGGAGGAAAGTACGGAGTGAGATTAGCCTGTAAATGGAATGTGATCTTTATCCCGATTGTGAACCAGCGATGTTGGCTGGATTCACTTCAAGGCCCTTTCGTCAACCAAGCTGAAGTGGTCGACCAGCAGATGGCGCCATGAGTTCACAAAGACCTCTCGCCCTGGCGGTGGGGACTCCCCCCACCACCTTCGCTAACTCCTGTAGGGATTTGGGGCCTCCAGTTGGGCCTTTCTGTCTCCTCTGCCTGTACTTTTAAAATTTGTTGCATTTCCTTTTTTTAAAAAAACGTTTTCATTTTCTTCCTAGAATCAGGATTTTTGGTCCTGTGAATACACACACACACACACACACACTTTGATAGTGCAAGCTCCCTATAAACTATTTGCAAAATGCAGAAGAAAACAGAAAACAAAAACCGCCTTAATATTTCACTATCCAGAGACAAGTGTCAGTACAAGTGTCTTAATCAGGATTGGGGGTGTTTAGAACTGGAAAGGGCTCAGAATCCTCTAGTTCGGCTCCTTCACACCATGAGGTCATGGGGCCAGATAGGCCCAAGGTCACCCAGCCAGGCAGACCCCCCGCCCCCTGGCGCAGGCCCATTGCCCTGTTCTGAACTCTGTGTACTGTCCACCCTGCCCGTCCACATGTGTTGTGAGCATCTCCAGGCCCCTCCCTCCTTCCTCTTTCTATTCTCTTGCTGAGGAGGACTTGGCCCAGAAGGTGGTGGGAAGTTGGTGCAGAGCTGATGAACCTGCAGATTCCTCTTGGCAGCAAACAAAGAGGCACAGAGGAGCATGGAAGCCCGTGGAAATGTTCAAGAAGTTGGGAGGAGCTCTGGAAGCTGCAGACAAGGCAAGAAAACTGTTACCCAGCTGCAGAGAGTGCAGAACTAGTTGCCCCCATCCTGCTTGGCACGTGCTCCCCTCCTACAAACATGAACCAACAAACAGCCAAGGAATTAGTGAGAGAGCTGAGAGGCCAGGGCCGAGTGAATCGTGTGTTCTGGTGTTGACAGTTACAGGAGGAATATCACTGAGTGTGGATCATCATTGATTAAACAGAGAGAACGCGACTGATCCCACAGGGCTGGGTGCTCCATGATGCAAGGGAAGGGACTCTGGAGGGATTCTCTAGAATGGATGAGCGGTAGAAAATTATGTGAATAAAAAAAAAATTGGCAGGGAAAGGCTGAGGTCTAGAATGCCTGAGTGGATCATTACTATATCAGTTCCTAGTTTGATTAGATCTGGGACCTTTGGAGAGCATTTATAAATACAGTGGTCATTAGGAGACAAGATGCCACGCTGAACTGTTCCCAGAAGGGTTAGTGTGTAGGAAGATCAACCACTGTACCTTGGCTTCCCGAAGATTTATCGAGTGTCTGTCATGTGTTTGGACGATTCTGCGCCAGAGGAGGGACAGCATACACATGGGTA